AAATGACATTATAAAAATATATTTGTCTGATCTCTCCACCCTATACCCTATGTAGCCAGGCTGCTGTATAATAGGCTCTGTTCAGGGATCAAGCTAAATCCATTTATTTCTGGAGTCTGCAACTTACTCACATATGCAGTGCAAACATGTTCATTTGCACTGTACGAAAATAAGTGTGTTAAGAAATTGTGTGCTTCACATTCACAACTTCACGCCTCTAAGTGAGGAGGTGCATTGTGGCCAGATTATGTAGAATATGCTTTACAGATTGTAAACCATGCAACAACATGAACATGCATTCAAGCCTTGTCATACTGATGTTTTATGTACATCGGGGCTGGATACATCTCGGGAGCCAGGTCCCAAATTCTCTTTAAATGACAGCTGGCACCTAACTTTTGAGGCTTTCTCTAGTTGTCCATGGAGCTGGTTCCTTATAAATCCTGCTGGCTCCTGGATTTAACAGAAAGACTGGATCCTGAAATCCATGTGCATTTGTTCACCCTGATATACTGTATATATCTATCTCAAACACCTAAACCAAAGCCTTCTGCACGTTTTATATATGGCCTCCTGCCCTGCTTAGTCCACATCAACTTTTGTTCAAACTTTCTTCTGCCACACTCACTTTTCATACCTTTTTTTATATACCTCTCTCAATTTTCTGCAGACTTGTCAACTACCCTCAAACCCAACATGCTTATTTAACCATGTATTCCTTTTTCTAGAGCTTAACTGCTTGAAGAACAGGTGTTTAGATCCCCTACCTGGCCAGGCCATTTTTCATGATCCGCCGGCTCTATAGCCGGCGGATCGCTTGTATATTAACGGGCATCGCTGCCTCTTTTCAAATAGCGGGGATTTCCCGCTCGCGCGCGCCGCGCCCGAGCGGGCGGATGTAACAGGACGTGTATACACGCCCAGTTACATCCAAGAAGCTCCCGGCAGGCCGTGTATACACAGCGGCTGGCCGGGAGGTAGTTAAAGAGTTATTAAACCCTCAGGTTTTTTTGCATGTATCTACTGCTAGTAAGCAGTAGATATATGCAAAAACTTTTAAAAAATAACAAAAAACAACTCCCTTTTGAACAGGTTTAAACTTACCTGTGTCTTCACTGCGCGCTCCCGCCTGAAAATCCCGGGTGGCCGCAAAGGATCTTGGGGCGGGCGCATGCGCAGTTCAGATTTTCGGCCAGGAGACGGGGGGGAGACACAAGGTAAGTCTATGGACGGCGTGCACCTGCATGCAGACACCGTGGGACAGGAAGTGCCAGCAAGCACAGAGGAGTCAGTGCTGGATCGGAGACCCGCAGTAGCGCTGGAGGGACAGATGAAAAGGACAGGAAAGAAGATCGGATTAAGAGACATCATTTAAGGTAAGTGCTGACATTAACATTGGGGGAGGGAAAAAAGTTTTATGCTTTTAATGTCACTTTAACACTCCTGAATAAGGGGAAGAAGGGTATTGTGGCATCCCTACTAATACTAATCATAATGATATTTTACACTATGATAAAATAATGCTCTTACACACACTTGCTCTTCTATTCGAATACAAACTTCTTTAACCACTTGCTGACCGGGGTGTTTACACCCCCTTCCTGTCCAGGCCATTTTTCATTGTTCAGCGCTGCAGTACTTTTGATTGACGTTTATTCCGCCATGCAACGCTGTACTGAAATGAATTTGATAACATTTTGTGGGGACAAATAGAGCTTTCTTTTGGTGGTATTTAATCACCACCGCTGTTTTTATTTTTTACTATATAAGAAAAAAAGTACTAAATATTTCAAAAAAAAACAAAAACGTTTTTCCCTTTTTATTATTTTAGGAAACATTTATTTTTACCAAATTTGTTGTAAAAATATAAAAGATAAGGTCACGTTGGGTAAATAGACACCAAACTTTTTAAGCCTTAAAATTGCGCGCGCCCGCAAAATCGCAAAAAAAGAAGACCATAGCCAAAATTGGCCATAGGCGACGCGTTAAAAGATTTAACCGCTCATCAGTTTAGTGTTATCATTGATTAATTATTGCTCTCACTCAGACGTTCGCAGCGATATGTAACGTGCGGCATAATTCGAGCAATCGTCGTTTTTGCGTGTAGATGCACCTAACGCATTTTTGCGCATCTATGTGGGGGAGGGGGACTTAAAAACATTTTTGTGGGTTTTTTGTGTGTGTGTGTGTAAATTTTATTTATATTGTGAGCAATTTTTTTTTTTTTTACACTTAACTTTATTGTTATCACATAGGGTGCTAAGAAGTACCCTATGTGATAGCAAATTACAGTGACAGGTCCCCTTTATGGAGACATCAGAGGTCTCTGAGAACCCTAATGTCACCGAGGGACCCCCAGAGAAGCTGATAAAGCACAAATGTTTATATCCTCTATTATATCCTCTGTGACTAGAGGATCCTGAGGTCTGACTTCAGCTCTTCTATTATGGAAACCTAATTTTTGTACTCATCAGACCCAATGGGGCCCCCTCTTACTCCAGGCCCCATATCAGCCATGTGGGCTGCTATGGCTATTGTTACACCATTGTGTGATGTATACAGTATTAGTGTGTGATGTGACCAAATGTTTTAAATTACATTGTTGACCATAATTTTGCGTGCCTAAAGGAAATCGTATACAAGCTGTCATGTTCAATCAAGTTTGTTACTGTAAGGGCTTGTTACCACCACATGTGTTGGGCTTCATTGGTCAGCATAGGCAAGGCACACAGCCTTGTTTTGTATTGTGAAAGTTCACATCAACGCACTCATTGAGAATATGAGTATCTGCATGTTATTTGGAACTATTCCAGGGAGGTCCATGTCCTTCTTTCTGGTATTGAAGGCTTCATGGGTCCAATAGAAGTATGGACTTTGTAATTAAGGCTTATTTATAAAAATAGGGAAAAAGAGTCATTGCCCATATTGTTATCATATTCCTTGTTTAGTTTTCAGGGAGTTAAAGAAATCTTATTGGTCACCGTGGCTGATAAATCTCCCCTCCCTAGATGTCTTAGTTATGTTTCCTAATTGTAGGTAATGGGAAGCATGTCACTAAATGGAAGAAATTCACAATGTGCACCTGCCAGGTTTCATAGGTGGATTTTGTTCTCAAAAAGGATTTGGCAAATCCCTGAACTTGTTACCGAACATAGATAGTTGGGGTCTGCACCAATCAACTGTTTGCATAAGGCATCCTGTTTGTGTCAGTTTATATCCTCTTACCTTCGATACATCACATCCAGGTCCACAAAAACGGAACTCTTCTCTGTTTATATCCTCGGACCCAGATGTACTCAGAGGTAATGGGATGTAAATGAACATCCGCCCATAGTCTAACATTGTGCTTCCTGTCATATCTGCCTGAAAAACTGACTGGTGGATTTGATCAGAACGGCCGCATGAAAGGGGCTAATAAACCTTTAATTAAACTTCTCCATAGCTGCTTGTCCTTTTGCATGCATCATAGCTCTAGATCTGAAACTGTTTACTTTTAGCTTTTGCTGAAGCAAAAAAGCCAGATCAAGTCTAACTGCTCTAGGAGTTTTGTAGATTATGTTCTGATTGACAGAGATCTAGTGGGGATATCTTCATGAGCCATGTTATCTTGTTCTTCATTTGTTAATTGAAAGCGAAAACCTATAAAACTTCATGTTATTTAAAGCACAACTCTGGGTACATAAAATCTTAACCCTGGAAGTGGGGCTACCCCAGGGTTAAGTGCAGGATTATAATCACCCGAACATCCAGCCTGTTTTCAGTGATGGAAAGTCCCTCGGCTTCCTCACGTTCTATACACTTTATAGAACGTGATGACTTACTAAACCTTAGACTGATGGAATGGAGAGGGAGTGAGGCTAAAGGGACTGGTCTAAAAGCAAGCCAGGATCGTGGTTCGTGTGGGTATAACTGTTATTTTAGATCCCTAGACAAAACAAGTACTTAAAGTGACATTAAACCCTCAGATTTTTTTAACCTAAACCAATACTGTAATGTGCGCCTTACTGTAATCCATGGTTGTTTCCCTTCTCTTTGCTGCTCTTCCTTTTTTAAATCTGTATCTGTTCTCATGCTGGGCAGAACTTCTGTTTTGCAGCAGACTGCCTTGTCTCAGGAATGGATACACGGTGTCTGTGTATCCGTTTGTATAGGCTTGTAATCTGAGCCAGCACTACAGGAAGAGGCCCTGAGCTGAAAAGGGAAGTTCTCCCCCAGCATGAGAACACATGAGGATTTAAAAGGAAGAGCAGCAAAGAGAAGGGAAACAACAATTGATTACAGTAAGGCACACATTACAGTATTGGTTTATGTTAAAAAATCTGAGGGTTTAATGTCACTTTAACCCTTTGTAGTGGGGCTACCACCGCATTGCAAGGATTAAGAATTTATTTGCCCACAGTTCTGTTTTAAGCTTGCCTATTAGATGTACAATATTTTAAAGCTGAATTCCAGGCACTAAAACGTAGGGATCATTTCCCTAATAGCAAAGGATATCAATCCACTTTTGTGTGCACCCTTGCAATCCCTGCTATTACCTTGTAAAAGGAGTGACCACCTCTGTGCTGCACATAGCCTGTGCAGAGAGTCTACTGTGGGAAGGGCCCATTAGCCACACCTACTACAGGCCTGTCGCAGAAGAATGACAGGAGGGGGCGGAGACGAGACCATACATCCTGCACGAGGGGGGAGAGAGTGACTGGTCTTTATTACAGGAAGCTCCTGCATAGAAGCAAAGTTTCGCCTTGGATTACTGCACAGATCTGAAAGAAATACACAAAGCACACCAAGGTTCAAGCAAGAATACACATCCTTCTTTTATTTAGAGAATGTTTGCTTATGCCAGAGTTCAGCTTGAAAGGCAGCTAGGTTCTATTTATAATAAAGTAGCTAATGATCTGGCATCATACTAACTCTTTTCTAGGTCCTCTTCAGATAAGACAGGTTTAGCATTACACCTTACCGCTCCTCCATTGATGCTTATTCTCAATGCTTTCCAACAGGTTCCACTTACAGTGTTCTCACGACCATGCCTTCAGACTCGGAAAGCAGCGGATCCCTCAGCAGTGTCGGTAAGAATAAAAGACACATCCTGTCCTATTTACAAAACAGCAGAAAAAGTGGAAGTTCATGTCCCCGATGTCTGTCTGTTTTATTTGCTCATGTGTTGTGTTTAAAATTCCAGACTAGACAAGTTTGTAAATTTTCTCTTTATATTGCCAATATAAAAAAGGGGGTAAGAGAGTGGAATGATAAACAGCACCAGGTCACAATAATACTACCAGAATAACAATACAAGGTTATAAATATTCAACATTGGATATCGTTGACTACAGAGCAGGATTCACACAAACACATAATGAAGCATACATTATTACCATGACTACATGAAATGACACAACTGAGACTTTAACCTCCCTGAGATGTCAAAACAGATATATACAGTAAAATATTCCCTGTTCGGACTAAGGACTGAACTCCATGTTGGAGAGTATTTTGTGAATGTAAGCCATGGCGCTCATCTTTCATCGGTTTTGAACAGTACTAGTTATGTTTTGAGTATTTGAACTTTATTTTAAAAGGGATATTTTCTATTATTTGTAATCAGGGCCGCCATCAGGAGGGGTACGGCCGATACTCATGTAAAGGGCTCGGGCAGCCTCCGGGGCCCGCCCAGGACCCTTACATGAGTATCAGCCAACGGTGAAGGGCGAGGAGGCGGCTGGGCCCCCGCAGCAGCGGTGGATGCCTGGCCCTAGCAGCGCAGGCCCTCAGCATTGCCGCTCCAGCGGCTTCGTGACAAGCTGGGGCCCCATCAGCGACGCTGCTCGTCTGAAGACGGAAGTGACGTCACGTTAGTGACATCACTTCCGGTCAGTCCAGCGGGTCGGGTGTGCAGGTCAGTGGCATGGTGTGCAGGTCAGTGGCGGATCCAGGGGGGGGAATGGGGTAAATGCCCCCCCAGATAGAGCTGCTCCCTGCCTCTCCCACCCACGGTACTACTGACAGAGTACTTACTCTGTCACTAGTAGCAAGTACTGTGCCGGTTTTTTACACTGAACAGCAGCAAACTCTGACAGTGACAGCTGTATGTCCCGGCGGCTGCTGTGCAGGGATGGGACAGGTGGCTCTGAAAATCCCTGTCACTGTAAGGAGTGTTTAGCCTTGCAGTGCATGTACAGACTCTGCAGACACCGCCAGGCCACCACATCCTGCTGTTGGGGTAATTGTGAGGACCCTCTCCTGTGCTCCTCCCCTCCACTGGCCACCAAGGACTCAGGAGAAAGAGGTTCTGCAGGAGTTAGGTGAGCCAGTGTGGTCTATTGGTGATGGATGGCCTGTTGGGGGGCCCAGAGAGGAAGAAGAGGGCCCCCCCTCCCCGAGGATAGTGCCACTCCTTCCCACCGCTCTGCCACCTGCAGCATGTACGGGCGGCTGTGTGGTGGGGCTGGAGAGGCTGTCACTAGTCCAGCAGAAAGTACTGCAGGCACCGCCTGGCAGCACATTCGTCTGTGTGAGGACCCTCTCCTCTTAGCCCCCCCATCTGGCCGCCGAGACACAGAAGAGGGACCTGCATGAGAGTCAGGTAAGTCTGGAT